CAAAGAAAAACACGTAAATGAATTGTGTTAAATGGCGTTGTACCCATTGAAGTTGTCTTTCATAACTATATCTAATTGAATGTTCTACAGTTATTTTTCGATTTGAGTTAATACATAATTATGAAGAACCATTTAATTTAACTCAAAAAATGAATCTAAAATCAGCTAAGAAAAAAGCAGCTGTATTTAAAGAACGTTAAAAATTATTAGGGACCAAATTGTCAACACTCCTATAGAATTAACAGAATTATTAAATAGCAATGACAGATCGTATACGAAAAAATATATTACATGAACATCGAAAAAATTTTCCGATTTTACCAAAATCTATTAATGACATACGTGACGCTATTAATGAATTACAAACTAAAACAGATATTGATTATGATTTTTTTACTAGATAACAATTTTGCATACAAAATTATAATATTTTCAACAGAAAAAAATTAAAAATATATGAGTATAGGTATATGTAAAAAAAATTATTATTTTTGTGGAAAGCACATTTTCTTACTGCCCAAAATTTTTTTTGTCAAGTGTATTGCATACAGTTCACAATAATTTTTTTTTGGTGTTTTCCGACATTTAAAACCATCCTGTATAACAAATATCTCTCCATCTTCCTCTGTTTTCTCCTACTTATCTTCAGTTTGATCTTAGATTAAATGATTTAACGTCTCTGTTCACACAATCTTTCCACATAAGGAGCGATCTGCCTAATGATCTTTTTTCTATTGGATCCTTCTCAATTACTGCTTTTATCATTGTGTCTTTTTCTCCAGCTGTGTACAGTTAACATTAACCTTCTTTTTACGGTTTTACTTGATATACACAGCTTTTGAAACATAATTTAAATGATGATTTGGTTCATATTCTTCATTTACCGAAGATATGGTTTATTAATTCCTCTTAAAACTTTTCTTTCAAAGTGACTAATCCTACTTCCTCTGTTTTTCTTAGTTCCTATGTTTCTGAATGATAAAGTATGATAGGGCGTATTAATGTAATATATATTTTAATTTTCAAATTTATAGATATGGATTTAGACTTCAGCAGGTTTTCACCTCCAAAATAGCATTTGTTAACCAATTGTAATCTTTTTGATATCTCCATCTTTAATTCATTGTCTTGAGTTAAGAGGATTCTTAGGTATTAAATTGTTAATCTATGTAGAAGATACGCCTTTCTACAATAATTATTATATACCATTAATCTTTGCTTTGATTTCAAATAAAACTTTAGACACGTATAAAAACATGTATAAAATAATTACCGAAAAGTGCAATAAAATGAAACCTAATGAAAAAATAAGATTTAATATTTATGTAAAATTAATTTTTGTAGCAAATTTTGAAAAAACAATCCATAATGTAGTCTATGAAATGTTTCCTTTGAGTTAATTAATGATTTAATTCATCGTAATTATGGTATCGTAAAATACAAAATTTAAGATTTGTAACTGATTACAAATTTAAAATAGAAACTGGAAAATGGTTTCTTAATATATTTGGTTTAAGTTTTATAAATTCAAGTAAAGTTGGTGAATCTTGAATAGATGATTTTATATTAAATATCTCATATAACTACACTGTTCAAGAATTTAGTGACGATTTAGCAGATAATTATATTTTTAACGATGGACTTTTTTCGCCTCATATTTGGACTTCGGATACGATTTCTAGTCAAAGAACTAAAAATGTATACGAGTCCTTTCATAAAGTTTAATAAATCATTTTCATCACTTCGTCCAAATATATTTGTATTTATTGATGTTTTAACCTAATAACAAATATATACTTATTATTTAATGTAGAATACTGTCATAAGAACTTTAATTATACGGTACCAGAAAAAAATGAAAATTATATAATACCTATAATATTTAACGATTTCAAACACTTTTTTTTAGATTTAAAAAATTGTATAAATATATATATAATATAAAATTATGTTAATATATATTAATATAATGGTACGCATAAAAAAAAATATTTTTAACTACACCAATGATTAAAATCATTGTCAGTCTTAAGCCTGTAAGTAGGAAATGAAATTAATGTTTTCTAAATGTTTATTTAACCCATTCAAATGTATGAAATGTTTGTTGAAATATCAACAAAATATTCAATGAAATATATTTGAGTCCAAGTGCATTTTCGACCACTAACTGTTTTTTACTCTGGTTCAGTTCGATTATTACTTTTTTTCAACCCGAGTGCAATTTAACTAAGATAAATATAATTCTACCATACCCAACACAAAAACATTAGCATACTTTATAGAAGTATAGTTATAGATCGATTGATTTATAGTGATGGTAATAGATATTTTGTTTTTATTTTTATTAAAACCTTAATATTGCGTGAAATAATAAATCAACATTTTTTTTGTATTTTTGTGAACGGCCATTTAAGTTTTTCATATCCCCCTCCTAAAATCCGTTAAAGATGGATCGTCACAAGTTTTAGTGACCGATTCATGCGCAAAACACTGAAAAATGGAAACCGCCCAACGATGGCGAATCGAGATCAAATACCCGGGCACGCCGTGACAATATACTGTGAAAACGGAAGTTTTAAAATTTTCATGTATGACATTTGCCACCGGGGTCGGCCTTTAACCCTCACCCATTATATATGTTTGACAGCTGTCCGGGGGACTGGTCTGTATCTACTAAGCTGCGACTATAATGTATATTTATATACAGAGGTTTTTTTTTACACGCACCCCTCTTGCGACGAAAACCTTTCCGAGGTCATCGGAATGCGAAAAACAATTTCCATCCGTTAAGCAGGGGTTATATGTTGCATGTATACTCACGGTAGGATTAACAAAATTTTGATTCAACACACACACACAAAGCCTATACGTTTTCCGCATGATAAATTACGGGTAGGTGTAAGCTGTGTAATGTGGAGAATGAAAAATAAAAAAGTTTTACTAAACGTTCATCTACAAACAAACACAAATCGTGACATTTACAAAATGCACTTTTGTATTATATTGGAGTAAAAATAAGAGACATGCGGCCATATTATAATATTTACGAAGCTCAAAAAGTGTGATAAATTAGAGAAATGATTGATTATTTTAGTGGATTCGTAAATTTCATGAACAGATACTCTCATTATAGTAATTGAATAATATTTATATTTATGCATTAATATGAAGACCTTTTAATATTGTATCGAAGCGTTACCAATATGTTTCAATCGTACTGATATAAGCATATATTATGTAGGCATCTATTATTGTTTATAGTTTGCTTTATAAAGGAACCTGGTTAGACCAGGTTAGACCTGAGTACAAATTATTTTTTTTACTTTTTGTAATTACATCGAAATGAGATCTATGAATTATAATTTTGTAGAGTGACTTTTGTTTAAGAACAGTTAAAATTAAAAAAATTAAAAATAGTTTAAAAACGAGTGTAAAAATACACATATAATACATTACCTTGATAGTTCCATGATTTTCCAGGAAATCAATTTTTATTCAAATGCACAGTTCACAAAAATCTTTTACTTGACGATTATTAATTTTTTCATGTAGTTTTATTAATCGAATTTGTAAAATCAATGCATCTTTAATTGCTAGAAATCTAATAGTGTCCAAATTTTAGAATAAAAAAATTAGAATTATCTACCGAAAATATGACAATACATCATAAAAATGATAAATCAAGATACCCAAATAATAAACTATTGTTCTAATATTATGTATGATGTTATGAATGTTTATTCGTATTTATTATATTAGATTTTAGCAGTTTCATTATTATAATTTATACTTATTTAATATTAAAATTACCACTTAACGCTCTTAAAATCGAACATTTTCAAAGTGTATACCTGCATTATGATGAACTGAAAGCTCGTATTTAAATGTACGTGATCGACTTTAATTTTATTTCATAACACTTTAAATTTGTTATTGTACGTGAAAACCGTTCACAACTAAGTTTATTCAAGGAGAAATACCAGTCGTGAATACTAATTTTCGTCTAAAAAACTCGATCCATATAATTTACGAATAATGAGCTATTATGTAACTCAAATTTAATCGTATTATCATGCAAGTACTGCCTGACAATAATTTCATCGCAAATGATAATAGTTTGAAATCATTTTTTAGCTCAAATTATCGTTGTGCAATATGTTTAAAGTAATTTGCATACCAGTGAATATGTTTCTTTTTCTTTTAGAAATTAAAAATAGACCTAGAATAAAAACTCTGGTTTCCATTATGAATTTCTAATGACATTCAACTGAAATCGATTGAACGACTATTCTATATACGACTTTTCCGTTCAAGGATCATTGATTAAAAACTAAAATGAAAGTACAAGGAAGGAACAGCTTAGGTACTTAGAAAATGTACAGGGATCAAATGGGAGGGGGATGGACCACACACTGTGTGAACAACCGGGTTAGCCCTATATTTCTCAACTGGAGAATATACGTGTTTTGCGTGCAGCTAATCTTAAAACGCCAAACTTGTATCCGTAGCATTAGATGATACTTGCAGAATCAAAATGGATGTCTTAGGCCAACGCCTACCCACAAGTTATACCTTCTATCGTGCATGGTGCCTCCTGAAATTAAAATACACGTAACCGCTGACAGAAAAAACCAAACGGAATAAGGACAAAATACACACTGTGTTCGGATATGAAATCACGAGTACAAGACTTAAATATCGAAGAAGCTTCATATATACACAGCAAAAGAACTGCATAAATCCCTAAAAAAAGCAAGGTTACAAAACGAGACAAGAAAAACTATAATCGAAAGAACTATCCAGTCTACGTAACAACTTTTTTTGGGAGGAAATTTACCATAGTTCCTTCCTGTAGAAAACCTTAAATAGATAAATAGTTAAAGTGGCAAGAACTAAATCTAATATAGCACATGGGTCTTTAGTGAAGAAAATGAAATTTATGAATGAGGAGAACGTCAGACCAATGAACACGTTTTGTTATACAACATAAGTCTAGCACAATGCAAAGAAGATCTGATATTGACAAACACAGATGTTCTAGAAGTGGTTCACTGGTTGCAGCACAATATATAAAACGTTACCAAATAAGTGATTTTAATTAGATATACTAAATGTATTTATTAATTAGTTTTATTATTTGAATATATTGTTTTCATTTTTTGTTTATTTTTTTATTTTTAACTTAACCATATTGTTAATATTATTATTATTGGGTTGAACTCAAGTTGGACTCAAAGAGAAAATAATTAGTGATTTGAACTTAGCATACTACGGAATTATTTATTTTGATTTTTTATGCGAAATTCAACGTATTTGCCATATTTGTAGAAACTATGCATCTCAGTAAAGATTTTAAAATTAATTTCCAAACAACTGTATGTTAAATACTAGTGACAATATTAAAATATTATATGAGCAGTGTTGTGCTTAGATAAAAAAAAATTATCAAGATATAGATAGATACTGTACAAATTGAATTTATCTACATATAAATAGATAAAATAATTTTTATCGAGATATTTATATAAGGCATCAACGTTTTCAACCGTTTGTAGGTGAACTCTTTTGGTCTTGGGTAATGATTGTATTATGTAACGATCCATTTCAAAATATAAAATATTTCACCTATAAAATAAAATTGTAAGTCATAGACAAAATTATAAAAAATATGAAGACGGTCTGACGATAAACACTAAACACGTTGTGGATGAGAGTGCGCTGCGTACAGTACAAGTTGTTAATAAATAACGGACGTTTCATGCCTAATATTTATTTTGTTGTACAATAATATTATGTAGACACATCAATGTACGAATTCATAGAATTGGGGTAACGAAAATTATTTAGAGCACATGATTACATGAACAATGGACAAAATTTATATATAAATGTTGAATTTAAGGCGGTCGAATGATAATGGAGAACGATCAATTTCTTTGTAGGTACAGCGTAATGCGTATTCTAATATTGCTATTTTCTTATCGACAATTATTTATAACATATCCTACAATATCAACAAACCATATAACGCGCAGCTGTAATAATAACCAGTTTAGACCTATGGTACATTATCTCTGGTTCTAATGTTCTTGTAAATGCTCTTTCGGCGTTCGTAATACCACAGAACAATAGTAATACGGGCATGAAACTTCCCCGTATGGGCCAGACTATGAAATTATAAATAATTCTTACCTCCCATGCATATTATGTAGGTAATATATTTCTATATACATAATACATATTGTTCATAATTAATAATAAATGTTATGTAAAACTATTTTAAAACCAATTTTTACAAGTTAGTTATTTTATATTGAAAGATAAAATTGTAGATTAGTTATTACTAATGATTAGCTACAGATTTTGTGAATTATCTAGATCAGTGGTTCTCAACCTTTTTTAGTTCACGGCACACTATTATACATCACAAGTTTTCACGGCACACTCGTGCACTTGACAACCACAACAACTTCGACAACTTCGCCGAAGGCATTAGTTATCGCCACGCGCTTATACAAGTATCCGGTATCGTCTTATCAGCACAATTAGCACACAATTGGTCAATTTATTTCCGAAAAACTGTACAGTTCTAAAAACTACGTCGTATTAATCTACACACGTATGATTTTATCTGTACAGATAAAACTGTTCAGTCGAATCGTACAGTTAGGCCGTAGACGACGTAAACGTGCTCGTAAATTAAAGTTTAAAAAAATTTTTAGTGCGTAGTTTTTATTGTAATATGGATAAATTTATAGTAAAAAAAAGAAAACTTGAAGATGGTGTACCATTGAATACTAGCATCGAAAAGGAGGATGATCCTGTTGCAAGTACAAGTGTTGTAAGTAAAGTGGTGCAGGAAAATAAACAACCTACTCCTATTTTAGTCCGTAAGTACCTTGATAACTATTTGAGCTTTGGTTTTACATTTAATGGTCCTGAAAACCGTCCTGTACCACAATGTATCGTGTGTGGAGAAAAACTCAGCAACGAATCCATGGTCCCTAGTAAATTGAAAAGGCATTTAAGTAGTAAACATAGCCATTTACTTGGAAAAGATAAAAATTACTTCAGTCTACTGTTGTCATCGGAAGAAAAACAAGCAAAAACCATGGTACGTAGAGCTACTATTAGTGAGAAAGCACTATTGGCCAGTTATAAAGTGTCTGAAATAGTAGCCAAACGAATGCAGCCTCACACTATCGCAGAAGACGTCATTTTACCGGCCTGCAAAGAAATAGTTAAATCTATGCTGGGTGACAATGCAGAGAAGGAAATATCTTTGGTTCCATTGTCAAACGATACAGTATCAAGGCGTATTGGTGACATGTCTTCAGACATCCAATGCCATGTACGTGAAAAGTTAAGTGACAGTAGATTATTTGCACTGCAGCTCGATGAGTCAACTGATATAAGTAAGAAATGTCAATTACTAAGCTATATCAGATTCATTGATGACGACTCAGTTATCGAACAATTTCTGGCATGTTCTGAACTACCCACAACGTCAACTGGAGCAGACGTGTATGATTCAATGTCCAATACTTTAACAGACAATGGGCTATCTTGGAAAAACTGTCTTTCTGTTTGTACTGACGGTGCACCTGCTATGACAGGAAAATTCAAAGGATTTGTTGCTAAAGTTAAACAAAATTTTCCGAATGTGGGCTCAACACATTGCTTTATACACCGCGAGGCCCTAATGGTGAAAACTATTCCTGCAGAATTGAAAAGTGTTTTGAACCTAGTTGTAAACATGGTAAATTTCGTTAAATCGAGGGCTCTTAAGACAAGACTTCTCAAAGAAATGTGTCGTGAAGCGGGATCTAAACATGATACTCTGGTTCTTCATACAGAGATACGCTGGTTGTCGAAAGGTAAAGTCCTGCAGAGATTTTATGAGCTTAAAAACGAGCTGTCAAAACTCTTTAGCATTGAAAAACCAGACTTTGCTGCGTATTTGAACGACACAGAGTGGTGTGCCAAAGTAGCTTACTTGGCTGATATATTTTATCATTTAAACTGCTTAAATGAAAGTATGCAAGGAAAAGAAGAAAATGTCCTGACCTCAAGTGATAAATTGAAAGGGTTCTTAAAGAAACTACAAGTTTGGAAACGGCATGTAGAAAATAAAAGTTTAAAGATGTTTCCTTTAACTTTTGATATAGATCCTCAGGGGGACATAACCACTCAACTAGTTTTAAATCACCTTACAGATCTTGAGGACAGCATGGCACAGTATTTTCCCCATATCTCAGTTGAAAAGTATGATTGGGTGCGCAATCCTTACGCTACTTCGTCAGAATCAACAGCTGACCTATCTCTTGAGAAAGAAGAACAGCTGGCAGAAATTCAGGAGGATAGAACACTACGACTGAAATATAATGAATCACCACTAATTAGATTTTGGATGTATGCAAAGACAGAATATCCAGTAATAGCAGTTGAAGCAATCAACATTTTGTTACACTTTTCAACCACCTACTTGTGCGAGTTAGGCTTTTCGGCACTTACAAACATAAAAAACAAAAAACGGGAGAGACTTCTTTCCGTTGATCAGGAAATGCGTGTCTGCTTGTCTTCAATTCGACCACGTATTGAACTTTTGTGTACGAAACGACAAGCTCAAGTTTCTCACTAGTAATTTAAAATGTATTCACTTTATGATATAAATATTCCTTTGTTTACTTTAAATAATTTAGTTCTTTAAATATTTATTAAATAATTTTTAAAAATAAATGTCACGAAATAAAACACTGTTTTTAATAACCTAACCTTCCCGCGGCACACCTAGACAATCTCGCGGCACACTAGTGTGCCGCGGCACACCGGTTGAGAACCACTGATCTAGATGGCTATGATTTTTATCTAGATGAAAATTAGATGTCAATTTTATTTTTTATCTAGATAAGATAACTATATGAAGTTTTTATCTAGATAACATAACTAGAGAAATTTATCTAAAGCACAACACTGTGTATGAGAGACGTGTGGTCAATATTTCGTTTTATTTAAATATATACTTATGGTTCTAGAACAGGAATATAAATATAAAAAAAAGATATGTATATTAACTGAATTACACCAACTAATACACCATACTAAACTACGTCCGTAAATGGATATAGTCAATGATATTAATATTTTGTGATTTAGGCAATTATGCTAAAATAATAATGTTGTTTTCGAACAATAACAGATTATATTGTCAATGCCAAGGAATTAACAGACAATGAAGTTAAAGTTGCAAAATGTATATTTACTGTTATAGAATTTTCAATTATTGCTACGTTATGACGTCCAACTTTACGATTTGTAGACTATGATGATAATTTAAAAAAATAACTATAATACATTTAACTATGTACTGTTTAAAATTATACGTTTTTTTTTGTTGACATTTTTTAAATTTCAAACTTTATATGAAAATTGGATAAAGCATGTTAAACGTTGTTGGGAAATATTAATAAGTACAAGATTGCCTGTATATTTTGGCCATCAAAGTAATTTCTTAGTCAATATTACATTATGTTTATTGCAATCATTAATATTGTATTTTTCTTGACAATTACGCAAATTCCTTGATCTACGATAACTGTCGATAATATTATTCGTGTATTGATATGTAAATACACATTCTACAAGATTTAATATTTTTTATTCAAAGAAATTTGGTGTTAAATATAATTCATATTAATTAAATTTCAATTACATATTCGATCCTTTTTTTAATATATTTGGGAAGTTATATTTAATATTCATACATCTATCGGACACTTAACGTTTACTATGTATAGGTATACATAATTTCGAAACTAAACTGACGATTTGCTTTGATATACATATCAAATATAATAATAAAATACAGTTGGTAGAAAATAACCATATAAATATACATTTAACCATACGAATAGTGATATCATCCATGGGTTTATTCCACTAATTTTTATTTTAAATTACATTCAATGTCATACATTAATATTGTGTATAAATATATTTAAGAATTGATTTATTGATTAGATATAAATTAAAAAATTATATTTAGTCGAAGTTATATCTCTGTTATATCACAATAGAAATCGATTTTTTTAAAACAAATTTTCAACTAAAAGTCTACATTAATAATACAATAGTATTTTAAGTTTTGATATTTACAAATGTTGTGATACTGCGGAAGTATTGGTTTTATGATTACATTATCAACCGCCGTTTTCCATTTCGATGGTGTTGTTAGAAGTATACCAATGGGTATACAATAAACCTAAATAGAATACTAATATCCGTCCATTTTAAATTGGAAAAAAAGTCAATATAGTTTGAGCGATATTGGCTGTAATAGCTTAATAATTAAGCTTAATTATTATGATAATTATATATTTATAAATTTGTAATGAGTTACAATTTTTAATATCCACTAATTATGGTTAATTTTAATATAACCATAACAAATAATTACCGAGGACATGATAAAAGCGTAAAAATGTTAAGTGATTTAATTCAAAAAAATGTGAAGTAAATTTTTGCAACATTAATAGTATTTTTATTTTTAATGATTTCATTAGATGACTAGTAATTTCAGCACGGAAAAAATATTACCCTCTAGGATGTATTTTTTTTTATGTATATATTTGGATTCTAATTAATAAGTAGAAATAGCCTAAAGCTTACGTTTTAACGTTATCTTGCAAATTCTATACAATTCAACAAAAGAGATTTTTGATACAATATAACGAGGTCTCGAATGTTCTGGGTCTTCGGGCGGTTCATTTGAATTCATATGTTTTGCTTATATATATACATCTAATTCCTTTTATTTTTTAGGCATTCAGTTATTTTGTATTATACGACGAAATTGTGAAATTGGAACGTGAATGCTTTTAGTACTATTACTACAACTGCTAAAATAAAAATGCAATATTAAACAAAATTATTTTATTATTGTAAAAATTACACTTCAGGGCTAAACAACTGAGTAATAAATACTTAAAACATTTTGCTAGAAATTCAAATCATCTAGTATTAATAAATTTCATAGTAAAGTGCTTGAAAATATATTTTCTGTGTGATTTTAAAATAACCATACTGCATGCAGGCGATTATGTGATATTATTAAACATTATTTTTAAGGGTGATGATCGCTAAAACTTCATGATATTTTTGTTTTCTTTGTAAAATAGATTATACCAAATTTATTCTGATTAAATAGCATAATATTGATAATATGAATTTATTATATTTAACTAATTCTACAATATTACGCATCAAATATCAAAGAGTTCGCAGATATTTTTTTTTCATTCATCTATGGTTCATTTTATAAATAGGTGTTTTTCATAAAATGCATTGATTTTAATTATACAGCATATTTACTTTATATTTCAACCATTATAATAATCATTTTATTGTTTTATTAACATTTTTTAGGAAATAATATTTTTAAATTGTCATTGATCTAGAAATATTTAATCAATGATACGCGTGCATATAATTGGAAATTCTATATTCATGTGTTCCGACATTTTATTTATATACTCTTGTATACGAAAATTGGTAAGTTGTCATCATTGATAAGCAGTTTATGGTTAAATAGTCTTTGAAATCAGTAATGAGTTGTCACACGAAAACGACCGCATCACTATTTTGTTATCTTCTATCTTTTCGTATGTTTTACAGTGTGATGTACCGGAGTAGCACGGACTGGGAAACAAGAAAAGTTTGGTTGTTGTCATGGGTGCTGAGAAAACAAGCATGTCAAAAAAGTGTGGGAACCTTGTTAAATACAAGACGCTACGTGGAGAGACTGTATTAAATAATGACCGAACAGTAAATATATATATTTTTTTTCATCATCTCCCAAACCGAAGTGTGACAAATCTGTATTTAATGTTATACCGATGTTTTTGAATAGTTTGATATGTCTAGCGTTAAATATTATTTACTATAACGAACAGTGTATTATTCAGTGGAAACATTGGAGCCTCACATTAATAGATCACGTCAGTTATGGATCTGCAAATTACTTTTTCGAGGATTGACTAATTTCAACATTAGATCAATCATTTTACAGTACGATATAGTATCTTGTAGTGTTGATATGTCATTGGTTTTTATATTTTTTATTATAATCATTAGTTTATTTTCTTAATTTTTTAAAGGGTTTTAGTGTTCAATTAAAAAAAAAAAAGAAAGTTTTCTTTGTAATATTATGTAACGTGAAATTGTTAAATCATTATTATTCTTTTTTAAGATTTCGATAATGAATTAAAGTCTTCATTAAACATATTTAATTTAATTTTTTTATTTTAATCACCATAATACTTTATAATATTTATACAAAATAAAATAATACAATTATATTTTAATTGTATAAAGTAGAACCTTGATTATCTGAACTAATGGAGATCACATCTAGTTCGGATATTTTAAACTGTTTTAAATTTTTTTAATAATATCCTAGATCATTTAAATCGGTTGCTAACCAATCAATAGCGCCATCATAGTTACAGTCATGAAATTCTGAAATTTTCATTTTTTGTTCCATCGTAGGAACATTACTTTTATGTTTATTAGACATTGTCGATACTCGTAATACATATATAGACGTATTCGTGGTAGAAAACCAAACTTCATTTTTTGTATTAAGTAGTGTACCTAGATACTGAAACTGTTCGATTTTTTCATATGGTAGCGTATCCAATACATCTAGTGATGTTTCCATGTCTAGTAATTTCATTAATTTTGTTTTGTCTACATTTATGTGTAACCCTATTCGTTCTGCTGCGTGTTTAAGTGCTTTAGTAGCTCTCACTTTATCATCCAATGAGGCTTCTAGGATGTTAAGATTATCTGCAAAACCTAGCACTTCTATATAATATTCATCTACTTTTATTTCTCTTGTTTCGTTTCGCAAAACTCTTACTGCCTTTTCTAGGGCTATGTTGAATAATAATGGGGATAGTGCGTCCTCCTGTTTTAGTACTGTTTCAAGATTAAACGCTTCTGACATAATACTTTCTAATCTGACTTGGTACTTCACTCCTTCTATAGACAGTTTGGTTAGATTTATTAATTTTTTTAGGAATCCAAATTCTTTCATTATGGTGTACAGACTATTTCTATGAATGCTGTAGTGAGCAGGTCTGATCAGAACTGACTTAAAATGTTTTATGACGAAGTCACCTCTTGTTGCAGTAAATTACACGTCCGTTAAAGTAAAATAAAAAAACACTGTTTAAGTTATAAATGTGAATTTATTATATTACTGAGAAACAACATAACGGTAGCCCTATAAGTTAACAGTTGTAAGTTTAACCGTACGGTCTATTCTTAAGTCTGGTTACATTGTATCTAATTAAGCGTTGACACTACGTTCCTATTTATACACAGGTAGTCGGGCGTAGTGTGTAAAAGCAGTTTTTTTTCTGATATTCAACCCTTAAGGTGGTTTTGCAATTGGACCTGCACACTCCACTCTTTCCTTTTCTCAGCTAACCTCTTCAGTTCGGTGTAGCTTGATAATCCAGCATAGGAAATCATTTGTTTGATGAATGAAGTTCTTGGACGTCCTCGGTCCCTTTTACCTTCAATTTTCCCTTCTATTATTCTGTAGGTTAGCTGATTTTCATGCCTCAATATGAGTAT